ATCTCGCGCCCCTGCAGTGCACGCCATTCATCGCCTCTGATTCGTTGTATTTTCCTTGGGATTGCAGTACGAGAGCAAGGTTGCCGACATGTGTTAGGGTGTCGGGGTGGTTTGGTCCAAGAATCTTCTCGCTCCCCTCCAGTGCACGCCGATCTATCATCTCTGATTCACTGTACTTTCCTTGGCATCGCAGCACAGCAGCCAGGTTGCTGACGCTCGTTAGGGTGTGAGGGTGGTCTGGCCCAAGAGTCTTCTCGCGCCCCTCCAGTGCGTGCCGGTTCATCGCCTCTGATTCACTGTACTTTCCTTGGCATCGCAGCACAGCAGCCAGGTTGCTGACACTCGTCAGGGTGTGAGGATGGTCCGGTCCAAGAGTCATCTCGCGTCCCTCCACTGCACGCCGGTTCATCTCCTCCGATTCGTTGTACTTTCCCCGGTATCGCAGCACAGTAGCCAGGTAGTGGACGGCGTGTAAGAGGGTGGCATCATTCGGGCCCAATGATTCCTCCATATCCTCTAACAAATCCCGAAATAGCTTCTCGGCCACTTCTGGCTTCCCCTGATATGCGATTACCGCCCCCAGAGATATAACCCGCGTATGACCCTCCTCATCCCAGTCATACTCTTTACTCTCTTCCCGAAGTGCAATACATCGACGGAATTGAATTTCCGCGTCATTGTAGAAACCCATCTCTTGAAAGTACTGCCCCAGGCGAGAACCAAGTTCTTCTGCTATGGGATCCACTGAATCTTTGGTTACCGCAAGTGCATGTGGAATGTATGAGCAACCGACATCTCTCCATTTGTTCCTATCGCGAGGGAATAGCCTTGAAACTACTCTCAGTGCCGTGGCCCTCCATTGATTCAACTCTTCTGTTGGTAAATACACTTGCAAAGACAGCTGGACCAAACGGTGAAGCTCGTAAAACGTCTTGTCCTCGCATTTAACGGTCGTAACTAGCGAAAATCCCAACAGCCTACCAATGGCTTGACGAAACCCAATTTGATCATCTATCCCCTCCAAGCCACTCTGACACAACAGCTCTTCGGGTATGTTCTGACGATCGAAAAAGGCAATTAGGCGCAGAAGATCTGCTGCTAGGGGCATCTGGAGAGTGATTCGTTTGAAGGTGATAAAGTAGGTTCCTAGGATGCTTTCGGTCATATCCGCGGCTCGCTGGATGTCACAAAACGGTTGCGAAAGCAGCCTCCTCGCTTGTTCGTCGCTTTCCTGGAAAATTCTCCAATAAGTGGATGGCGGTGTCTGGGTTTCGGTCATGAAGGCTGCCGCACCCACGACAGCCAGCGGTATGTGGTGCACGGAGCGCAAAATCATTGTGATGGCCTCCTTTTCTCTGTCCCTCAAACTATTCCCGCTACCAAGACGTTTCAAAAATAATGCCCGCGCTTCATCCTCCTCCATCTTTCCGACATCGATCCTTTCACAATCCTGCCAGTATGCGACCCGGAGAGATCTGGTGGTGAATATCAGAGTACCCCTCTGGCCTTGTGGCAAAAATTTGGAGATGGGACCGCTATTGCCAATAAAGTCCTCCTCGTTGTCGGCGTTGTCAATAACCAGTACCCAATCACCGCTCTCGGGACCTTCAAACCACCTCTTCACACCCTCCAGGAATCTCTCTTGGTCCGTTTCAGCACTAGCTAGAGGAACCCGAACATGTTGCGCAATAGCCCTGAAACCATCAATAAATTTTAACACCCCACCCCCCTGCACCCAGAAAACATCACAATCCCTCGCGCTTGTGCGGCAATAAATGTATTCGAGGGCAATTTGGGTTTTCCTAAGTAAATGTTAGTAAACCCGAATAAGAATAACGAGTGCATAAGTTACCCAGATCCGCCTAATCCGTGGAGCGCGATCCGGTTGTGACCACTACGCTCGGAAAGCCTCTTCATCGACTCAATGACATCTTTGCGGCCGGTGAACTTGGTATTTCTGCGATAGGGAATTATCCGATAAGGTCTAGATGCTTCTTCTAGCTCTAATAGCGCATTAGATCTTTGGTGCAAATATCCCGGGAAAGCTGATAATACGGTACCTCTACTCCTCGCTCCAAACACACACCCTTGATATATTTGTCTGAGATTGGTAACATTGCCCAGGATTCCCGTGTTTACGTCATTATTATTATTGCTCCCAAAAACATTATGATCCCCTAAATTCCTGCTGAAGTCTCCGCTGATATCGTCTTGGGTCGTTCTGCAAGGATTATTAGCCGTGTGCTTGGTATTGTTGAAGCAATGGACAGGGAAGGAATCGGGAGCCAACCGATCCATAAATGCTCGAGTATTCAGTTGACTTGAGGGCTTTTTTAGAAGGTGGATAGGAAAGTACTAAGATGTCGCCACAAGTAGCGTGTCTAGAATAGAAAAGGTAACCACTTTGTCGCCAACCGAGGAAAATTTATAATCGTTCACAATCGCTTCGCAAGCCCTGAAACAGCAAGTCGATAAACCGCGGATTTGTACGTAGATGCGTGATCCCGTGGTTTCGACGCACGTGTGGGATATAATCCTGGGTCGCGCTATTCGAATTCAGTGGAGCCTGGGGATCTGGCGTTCGGGTACTAAGGGGGTACCGGTATTAAAGTGGCAGCGTCCCGGGGCAGTGGCGAAGATTAAAATCCCCTCTCCCGAAAACCGCAGCCTTAGCACTCCGGGGGGGGAGACTACGGGGAAAAGCAAACAATAGGTATTGTAATCTCACGGCTAAATTTAGCTTCCTTGCCCTCGAGCACCAGTACTTGGCCATTCCAAAATTATCCAAAAATATGGAGCGGCGGCTTGGCGCAAGTTACGGCCAAAAAAATGCCAGGACTATGGTGCCGGGCATTTGAAATCAGCCCTCATGGGTAATTCAGGAAAAAGCTTAGTAATATGCCAAGACTAAAAGGGTTAGGGTTATATGCTGTAAAATGCTCACTTCTGGGCAAGATCTTTCCCACTCTACTTCTTATTCATGGCTATAAATGATCCAATTCTATAATGTGATGAGTAGAATCTCCAGTTTATAGTCTCACATCAAGGTTCTGCGATAGCCCCTCTACTGATCAAATATCTATCCCTCGCCCATTTGCTTTCAGGTAGCTCTTTCAACCTATGGCATGCAATTAACCCATGAGCAAAGTGCGAATATATCTCATCCGCCCTATACCATATCCTCCCAATACACCACTGCAGTAACTGAACCTCCAACAATGAAAATCTCATCGACTACCCAAGCCCCTCAGAACCAATTCTAGCCTCCACTCTCCCCACCAGTGCCTCCTGGAATGGGGACCCAAAATCGTATGCGCTTTACATATCCCCTGTTTTGAAGTAGATGCGTCGGTGGGATTTGTAGTTCTCCGTCCATTGGCCAAATTCCGGTGACCCATATCCAAGGCCTGCCCTGTAGGCTTATATTCTGCGCATACATCGATGATAGTAGCCATGAATTGTAGAGTTCTTAACTGATGCTAAGGCCTGTGGAATGGTGGAACACAACTCATCGATAGTATATCCACAGATATCTCAGGCAAATCGCTTCCCCTCACCCCAATAATATTCTATCCAATTTAATTCGCAATGGAATTTTGGAAGAAATAAGATTAGATCTCCGCTTCTCTCAATCTCCTCCTGTAGTATTCCTTTCTGCGCAAGGAAATCCTTTTCTCTACCTAGAATCTCTACTGCACAGCAGCCTACTCAATGGATAAGATAAGTACTGTAACGTGTTCGCACCGGAGTGCTAATCACGCTTCCGGGTACAATAGGAGTAGCGCACAAGTTGATCTACAACCTATGGGCGTACTCGCTAAGGGAGGCTTCAAGAGAAAGATATAAAGAATAGGGACTTGAAGGGGTAACTGTTCAACCAAGTATATTAGAAATACTCTGTCCGTCGAAGTCTGCTGTTCCTCTAAGGGATTCAGCGGTCTTTAAATACAAGCTTCGTCCATGTCCTGCATGGACGGATTTCCAAATCATCCTTAAACAAACCATAAAACAAACTAAGTATCAAAGGATACTTGAAACCACAAGTAAAACAAACTGAGTATC